CTTAACTCACATGGTCCCTGAGAAACCACACATATTTTGCAGACCAGCGTTTGTGGAACGACACATGAATCTGTTGGGTCAGAATGTGTATTGATGTTTTTACAACTGTGTCTTTGGAAAACAAGAAAAGTAGACCTACTGTGTGTAGATCTTCATTTCTACAGTTACAGACTGTAACTCTAGAGGGAGACATTAAATTCTGTCTGCACAGCAGCCACAGCTAACGGATTACATAATCAGTTTTAACCAAATAAAGCTTTCTGTGTTGGTGGCTTACTCGCAAAATTAGGGAACAGATGTTCCCAATGAAGTCAGGTTTTTGCTGTGTGTCGTGTTCAAGACGTCCAACTGCAGGTTTTTCTGTTTTCCTCAGAAATAATTCAATAAACTTCACAGAGAAAACTTCTGTGCATTCTGCTGGAGGACTGAGAGCTGCACCGCTTCATGCACTTAGTATTCTAGACACAAACATTTAGAAAACAGCAAACAGATGTGAAGAACAACCTCTGAATTACAAATGAATTAATGTGTCAACATGGTTTTAAGGAATTTCTACACTCCTTTTAAAATCAATTAGCTTAATCAGTGCATTGATTATTAATCATCAGGACTGTATTCAGAGTCTCCAGACTGCATTATTTCCACTTCCACTCTGATTACTAAATGTCACATTTAGTAAAGTGACAGCTTAGTTGAGTTTTTTTATCCTACATAGACAGCTAATCAAACTTTGGAATCTGATCCCAGTTGTCAGCTGACTTCACAAGTTTAGAAATGGTTTAGTTGTGAAAACATAACTCCTGTTCAGTTTTCTGGTCTTTTGAAATTATTTTTTAGATATCATTATGTTTCTCTGTAAAATTATAATATAAATGATATAAAACAAATATGCAGCTGAGGAAGAAGTCAGGACATCTTATCCTATTATTGGTTGAAAATACTTCCATAAAGTGCTTCTGCAGGTCTCCTGCATTCCTCTAGGAAAGCACAGATATAGTACCAATAAGGCCAATAACCGATACCTACCAATATCGTCTAGGTTAGATTTTCTTACACTTTTGATAGTGTAAAAGCAAACACACCACCTACGCTGCTTCTTAGCTTTAGTTAAACACTCGTACAATCTTGTACCATCATCACTGTTACATGAACCTACAAATACCACATGCTAACAGTTTCCTGAAACCAAACGGAAGCAAACATCGGTTTGTAATATCGGCCCAGTTTTACATACCTGGTCCATACAGACATGTTAAAACATGACATATGGGCAATATATTGTGCATTATTAATAGATATATAGAGCTTCTTGTTTATACCAACACCTGGTTTTCCATTTTTTAGTTCTCAGGTCGTTTTTGTTAGATTTACTGGTTTGTTTTTGGCCATTGTCATGTTGCTCTTTCCAACCTCTGCAACAACTTTATTTCTTTCCTCAAACCCCCATGATGCAAAGTAGAGTTCATGGTAAAGTTCATGATGTTGAGCTGGCTGGGTTCAGCTGCAGCAAACTGACTTCCACCTCTGTGCTTCACAGTTCCTCTCCTGGTATGCTGGATTAGGATTAGGTTAAAGACGAACGCTTCCTCTGATTTGATGTCCAGATGGCTCAAGTTTGGATTAATCTGCCCAAATAATATTTTACCAGGACTGCTGGTCCTTGTCCAACTTCTCTCTGGTAAACTTCTGATTGCAGAGTAGTTCCATATCATCATTTGCAATAGTCTAGTTTAGGTCTCATGATGACATTTTAGGGATTTTGGGGATGTTATGATGTGATTTCATTGCGACAGATCTGGGAATGTTTGCTATTAAATTTTACTGAAAGTTTTTTTCCCTTCAGCTTTATAGGTTTCTTATGTGTATTTTGGGAAATTCTCGAGATTAATATTGAATATCCATCTGTCCAATTGCATAAAACTAAAGCAAAAAATATTTTAAAAGAGTCTCCTATTTTGTTTCACATCTGGATGCAGATACGCAGGCTGGCAACAAAATGTTCTTTGGATTACCGTCAAGTTTCACGGCAGAATTTAATTTTCTGATATTTTACTTACATTTTGCCTTTAAATTAATTTCCTTCCAGAGAATTATGTATTTTTTGTCCACTTGAAAATGTATTTTTGTTTTTAACATTTTTCTCACTATAAAATAATTAATTCCATCGACAGTCTGTGAGGAACAGCATCAATTCCTGCTGAGTTTATTTTGTGTGTGATGAAGTCTGTTGCAGTGTGTGTAATCATTAACATGTGCTTTAATACCAGATGTTACTAGTTCATAGTGCACACAGTCAGAGTCATGACTGTGTGCACGTGACAAAATATACAAGCACAAGGATTCAGTCAAACCATTAAGGGTCTGGTTTATTTTAAAGCTTATTTTAGCTTTAGTTTCCTGCACATATGTTGCAGAAGCAAAATGTTGGTAAAATTAAACCGTTACTTTAATTATCAGACAGCTTGAGATGGGCACCAGCTGACCCTGCAAGGATAAACATGTTAAATAATGGATGGACTTTAATTATCAATCTGACAATAATTTGGGGATAAACTGTGTATGTCTGTGTTTTAATGGACTTGGAAAAATTTTCCAGAAATGAGGTTCTGCTTAGCCAGATTCCTGCCTTCGGCACTTTTTGAACTGCCTTGTTGCTGAAAATGTGCTACATAAAATTACCTTACTGCAATTGTATTACATTATGTGTAACATCAAATGAAAACAGAGCATATTTAAAAACTTGCAAAGTCTTATTTTTTTATTTATAACTGATTTGTTTGTAAATGTCTTTGTGTCCACAGCACCCCCTTGTGGACGCCTGGAACCTTGCCTCCTGCTGCCTTGGTAGCATGTGTTGCCCCCAAATATTCTCTTTATTTAAATACAGCATCCATCTTTGAAAAGTAAATGTTGTTCACCCAAGTAAAATAAAACACAAGCAACGAAAAGCCATGAGAACATTTGTCCTTATGGACCTGCCACCTTTAAGGTTTTGGGTGTTTTTGGAGTTTGGTTGCAAATGGGAGTGGGAATTTACGTCTAATAATCCTACATGCAGAACATTTCTCTTACCAAAAAGAGCATCACTTTAACATGGACTATATTACATATAAAGCTCTGGAGTCACATATTGTTCAGAGGCATCAGGTTTGTGTTTGATGACTCAAACGCTGCAGGCTGAGAGGATCCGTTTTGTGCCTGAGTTTAAGAGGATCACCTCAAGTTGCAACAGATGAACTGATGACTTGTGTTTGAATTTTACTGCACAGTTTAAATTTAACTCATTTTTCTAGAGTCATTGAACAATTTAATCAATTCCTTTAAGATGCTAAGTTGTAGTTTTCCCAAGATAGCTTAACATCCACTTAGACAAGAACGAGGCTTCTGAGTTGGTTTTGTTTAGGACATATGACTATTTTTCTGTTTGACATGACCTCCAAACTTCACTAACTCAAACGTTTAAAGAGTATGATAGCTGACGCAGCTGCAGCCTTTAATGACAGTGGACACTAAACTGGAATACTGGATCTGAGTATTGAGAATCAGTCTCAGTTGGCCTCAGGGACTTGAGTAAACTCTCAGCCATCCACAAGCAGAGAAAAGAAGCCTGTTTCAGCTTGTGCTGGACAGGTGATGACTCCAAATCTACAATAGCTTAAGACCAAACATATTTTCCCTCGGGGTCGGGTTCGGGTTCTTGCCTTCGGTTCTTGTGTTTATTTGAGGTTAGTTGTATCTTATATCTTCAAGTGAGAGATTGTGTTTTGTCTTCGGTGAACAGGAATAATCCACAGGTCTGGGATGGAGAGAATAAATAAAAGTTCATCTGATCAACTATGAAACAAGCTGTGAGAAAATGGGTACAAGCGTTTTGACCTTGAACATAAAGCGAGGAGCTGAAACAGTCTTCTTATTTTTATTTATTTTGACATAAATATGTATTGTTCATACCTATCTTAAATACAGCTATGCTCATTTATTACGACGGTTTTCCTGGAATCTCTTGGGTTCAATAACACTTTGCCCCTTTTGTGAACCAACATGAGGTCACCGTTTTTATTTGTGTAATGATTACAAAATGGAAGCTGTTAAAATATCAATTTGCTGTTATTATTGACTGAATGTCAAAGTTTCTCTTAGTTGGGACCAGTAACCTCTGAGTTAAACACTCTGGTTCCTAGACTCTTTGAAAAACACTGCATGCTATAAAACACTTTATGTCTGTTTTACTCTTATATGATCTGTTTAAACCAAGTGAGGTTCAAGGGCTTCAACCATGATGGCCGAGCAGGCAGTGTGGTTTCTTTTTTATTATAAATTTGGCAATGTTGCTAAATTTATTAGAGGGGAAGATGAATAAGCATTTTTATTTTTAAGCTATGATGTGTCATTGGAATGCCTCAAAAGTGAAACTGGACTTTGTTGCAGAAAATTAAATTCTAACAAAAGTAGCAAAAAGTGAACTTAAGGATCAGTTTTATGAAAACTCAGACGAGTCAACACTTTGAGTGAACCTAATTGTGTGCATTTATACTGGACTGTTCTTTAATTGATGTTATTGACAAACTTAATGGGATTTTCTGACTTTTAGAAGCAATTCCTACTGGACAGCAACTGGACATAGATGGGGAATGTTCTGCTTTCCCTTCCCAAAATTCATTTTTGGATATCTCTGAATCCTCTATAATTATCAAAAATACAAACATTACTTAGAAATTTTGTTTGAATTTGTTTTTTGGGACAGAATGTGCATTTCTACCTTGAAAAGCGCCTGCAAGTTGTAATATAACATAGTCGATTTTTTTCTACTTAAATGTTAATGACCAAAAAGGAAAAGTAAATGACTGAACTTTGTACAAATTTTCTCTCCTTAAGTCTGTGAGAAGTCTGTATTTGTGAGGTCAGTTAATTATTGTATATTTGTGGTTTGGCCTACAAAGAACAGGCTTCTTCAGAATGAAAAAGCTAAAGACTCTCCTGAAACCTAAGAGGGCGGGATGGATTTTAGCTGAAACAGAACAGCTTCAGAGAAACCCGGACTTCATTCATTCCGCTGTTTCCCAACTCCAACATGCTACCGGAGTCTTCCGCCGCCAACAAAGCCACTGCTTACGAGGCGGCGACCGCCTTCCTGGGAGAATGGGGACCTTTCCAGCGGCGGGTCTTTTTCCTCCTCAGCCTGAGCGTCGTCCCCATTGGACTCACCGCCTTCTCCATCGTGTTTCTGGCCGACACGCCGGATCACCGCTGCGCGCTGCCCGCGCACCTGAACCTCAGCGCGGCGTGGAGGAACAGCAGCATCCCGCTGGAGGAGGATGCGAACCGCGACGGCGCTTTGGTGCCCAGCAAGTGCTCCAGATACAAAGTGGAGAATTTATTGAATTACTCGGAGAGAGGCTTGCTGCCTGGAGCCGACGTTAATCTGTCTAATGTGCCGAAAGAAGGCTGTCTGGACGGATGGGAGTTTGACCACAGCGTGTATACTTCTACCATCGTCTCTGAGGTGTGTTCAGCTTCCGACTCATCGGATGATGCTACTGATGCCAGTGGAAATACAAACCTACCAAATTACTTAATCTTATAACGAGGTTACATGGAAATCCAATTTTATTAGTATAGTTAAAAATGATGGTAGTTGTGCAAATATTCTCAAAAGTTAAACCTTTTTAGCTACATTTGACAAATATTTGTGTGTGATGCATTTTAAATCTCATTTTTATTAAACCGTCTTAATTTTTTTCTTAATGTGTATTTTATCTGTGCATGATTTCCTGATCTAATCTATACTGCTTGTTTCCACACGTTTTTATTTTCCTGTCCTATGCAGTGGAACCTAGTGTGTGATGAAAGCTGGAAGAGGCCATTGACGTCTTCCATCTTCTTCGGTGGTGTTTTCACTGGCTCATTAATTTCTGGACAACTCTCTGACAGGTGGTGGACCTGTTTGTAGTTTTAGAGAAAGATGGCAGCATGAATCATTTTGTAACCTACAAGTTCTCCATGAATACAGAAGGGAAGCTTAGGGGGATGCACTCACATAAATAATTAAAAAATCCTGAAGCAGACAAGATTTTTCTGACTGGTCAGTCCTGTTCGTTAAATGCAGGAAATCTTAATGCCCATATTTGGTCTATAAATGCATTAACTCACTACATACAATAAGATTTTTTTGACTATTAAATTACCTGACGCTTATTTTTTTCCTCTTATGTTTTAGAAAATTGTGGAAGTTGTCAAAATTGGACCCATCAGGTTAGATTTTAAGGAAAAATCCTCAGTACTCAGGAAAACCTGATCACTGCATCTGTAGGTTTAACCTTTGACTAAGATAATCATTGTACAGAAGTTTACCCAACACTCAAGACAATCTTCTGTCTGAGTTTGACAAGACAAGATGCCGCTCTGTCAATCAGTCACAAACTTTCAACAATGAAACACCCGAGTCAAGTCTTAGCTCAACATGAGCAAGATGATCTGAGTGAAACTGTTGAGGTTTCAGAACGATGTGGAACAGACATCCTGTAGAGGTGCTTCCCTGATCATGGACATATCAGAGAAATCAAATAAGATATCACCAAGAGAAGAGTGAACCTCCACAAGTCCAGATCTTTTGATGTAAAATAATAGAATCGTTCAGTTCTATTCTTTGAACTGAATGATTTCCTGAACAGAAATCATTCAGTTCAGGAAATATAACAGATTAGAAATATTCCCTATTGTCCCACTGAGGGGAAATTCAGAAACAATGGGCTCCTGTTCCAGATATGAGCATGATAGGTGTTGAAGATAAAACTACAAACAGCAGCAGGACACATTGTGAAGTTGCTGTCTGAAACTGTTGGAGTATTTTTCACAGTAAAATGAGTTGCAACTTAAAGTGTAACTAACTCGTTTCAGAAAGCACAAAACCATCCCTGACAAATGTTGAAAGATTTCAGCAAAGTGGGAAGAGCCAAGAGACAAATGGGTTTAATATGTGAGCAGGGTGGTGTGCACAAACTGAGTTATACCAGGTTTGTTTGGATGAATGGAGCAAAATCCATTCATCTACTGTAAGAGGCGTTTAACAGGATACCCAAGGTGTTCAACACAAATTAGTTTAAAAGTCAGTCTTCTTATTGTGAGGATATTTATGGAAAGTTTATTTAGCTTCCCAAAAATACACCTCAGAAGAATATCTGTGTGCAGGTACAAATGTAACTTTATTTTCACCAATTTTTTATGTCTACAGATTAAAATATGTGTTTTGAGAGTCAATTTATCTATGCACTTAATGTCTTCTCACATTTTAAAAATTAGCCAATTCCTCTTAACACTGTTCCAAATAGTGGCCGTAGTCAAGCTATTATGAACTCGACTGACTGACTTTTTGTCATGTCCTCACTTTATACAATCTGTTTACTTCCCAACTAATTTATGCTGAATGTTAATTTCAGGTTTGGGAGGAAGATTGTGATGTTTGCCACCATCGCCCTGCAGGCGGTCTCCAAATTCATTCAAGTGTTCTCTCCAAGCTGGATCGTTTTCTGTGCTTTGTATTTCATTGTGGGGATGGGCCAAGTTTCAAATTATATTGTTGCATTTGTTTTAGGTAAATCAGCTCAAATGTTTCCAAATTATTCATTATTACTTAAACGCAGTTTAACAAATGTGCCTGAAATTTGTCTGTAATGGGCTTGCTTTGAGGAATGGAGGTTCTGGGCCCTCGTACCCGAACACTTTTCTCCACGGCTGCGGTCTCTCTGTTCTTTGGTGTGGGCTACATGCTTCTGCCACTGATTGCGTTCTTCATCACCGACTGGAGGATGCTGCTGCTGGCCCTGATGCTGCCCAGCTGCCTGTGTATGCCTCTCTGGTGGTAGGTGGGTGTATGTTGCCATGTCTGTGTCCACTTTCTTCCAAAGTTTGAGTTTGACAATTTACTTACAGTACCTTTAGGTTTTTCTGAAATGAGCCTTTATTAGGACAATCAAATATGCTTTACATAAAATCTGTCATTTCCATTCACGCGCTGATAATGACAAGCTACTGGATCCGTCCTTTCTGGAGCAACAATCAATTATTAGTTTCTTTTTTAAATGTCTTATGTTCAGATTTTCCTTTTGAAATAAATTATGTAGTTAGTAAAAGTTTTTGCATTACCATTGAATTAACTGTGAATACTTAATCTAAAAATATAGATTTGAACCTTTTATGCATTTAGAGTGGTCTCAATTGTATTTATATCCTTACACATTTTTCAACAAGTTTTGGGATTTTCTTTTTAAACAAATCTGAAAATGTGCCGTGTGCATGAACTCAGCCCCACTAAGTGAACACCTTGTAGTTTCTGCAGCCATGAGTCTCTTTGTTATGCCTGGTTTGCATGTCTAGTGACTGACGTCCTTCTGAATTATTCTTTGTAAAAAAGCCACTCCATCAGTAGAGCATTTGTGAATATCAGTTTTCAACTTTTGCCACATTGACTGGGTTACTTTAACTCATACAAATGTTTTGTTGCTCAAGCTGTATAGTTACTGCTATGTGAATATCTGCTCCAGTTTCAAGTCTTTTGCAGTCCATCTTTCAATCAACTCTGACCAGCATCCCCGCAGCATGATACCACTTCCACCATGTTTCATGATAGGAACGCTCTTTTAGTGATGTGGATTGCTGTTTTTTTTTTTTTTTTACCATTTTAAATGTTTTCCAGAATAATTCCTTGGTATTATCTGACCAAAGCAAATTTTTCATGCGTTTGCCGTGTCATCTGCATGGTTTGTTACTGACTGTCATTTTAACTTATTTTAGCTTTTCTTGCACACTTGAAAGACATTTTTGGAAGGCATTATATTTTCTGTTTTGCCTTAAGATTAATCTACCTGAGGTACAGATCTCAGTTCAGATAAGCAATCGGTCTTGGCGTGTTTGTGGTTGCACCATTCTTCGTTTCAGATCATTAATGGACCAGTACACCCTGTGTTGTTCAAACATGACAGTGGGTAAAATAAGTACTGAACAAGTCAACAATTTTCAGCTGGTCTACCATTTGTGGAATAAATAATAATTTCAGTATTATTTATACTGAACTAAATAACAGAGGTGCTACATTTGCTAGTTATTTCACTTCTGAAATCAATTAGCTGCACTGGATTTTATTTAGGGGTGTCAGATGAAAAGAGGTATGAAAATGCACTCAGCACTTTAGACTTTTATTTGAAGATGGTTTTGGGTTGAATCATCAAAATGCAAAAAGAGATTCAAGGCGTCAGAATACATTTACAAGTCTCTGTAAAAGTAGGAATCTTCAGGATGTTTTTCCATGTTGGATTTGTACTTTCAAGTGTTTTTACTTGTTGGATTAAGAAAGCAAAGCATCCAATGTTAGTAGGATTACAGTCTCATTTCTGCATGGGGGCATAAGGGTTATGAAAACATTATTTCAGTATTTATGAAAACATTTGAGCCACGTTTGACAAACTGGCTTTGGTCACTCCAGTAATATTGTAAATATTACTACAGTCATCTGTTGGAATAACTGAAAAAATAAAGAACATCAATGTGATTTTTTAATGTGGAACATAAATATCTCCATAACTGAAGTCTATGAACCTGCTGTCACTGTGTCTGCACAGAGTGTGTTAATGTGATCAGAACCGGTCTGCTGCATCAGGCTCTGAAATACATTCTCTTGCATTTCATTATGTGCTCAGATTGATTTAGATTCATCACTAATCTCTAAAATAATTTAGCTTTTTTCTGACTTTGTTGCAGGTTCATTCCAGAGTCTCCTCGATGGTTGCTCTCTCAGGGGAGAACAGAAGAAGCCGAGGCCATACTCAGAAATGCAGCTGAAATGAACAACATTGAGCCTCCAACAGTCATCTTTAGCTCCTTACAGGTGAGAACATCCTTCATTAGAGAAATTAAAACATTTAGTTTCCTACAGCCTTAATATGTTGTAAAGACAAATTTGTTAATTTCTTAACAGCCTCTGGAGTATCAAGAATGAAACTACTTAGATTAGTTGTGAGTGGATGTAAATATATAGAAATATATTTTCAATTTTCAGTTTTTATGTGTTCTTGGAAGCAAAATGTATTCAGGAATGAGCTTCTTCTTATTAAAGGAACATAAACAATAATGTTCCTTTAACAATAAAGGAACATTGATCCCTTTACTGTTAGGGATACGACTCCTTGCGGTTTTTACTCTCTACATTTGGATTTCTGTCTTGCAAAAATACATGCACCATAAAATGTTCAACTTGCCTTGAAAACATTATAACCACAAAATCCAGTGGATAAATGTGAAGAGTAAGGAACATTGAAATATATGGAAGAAAACAATCTGGTCAAAAGAAGAACGTAACGATAACCTGTAAACAAACAAAATCCATCCCCACTGGAAACACGGTAATGGCAACATCATCCTGTGGGGATACTTTTATTTAATTGATTAGATTTTATGCTTGGACAAATGAAGCTGAATAGGAGACGATTTTCTAACCTAATGAAGCAGGTTAGAGGTTTACCTCTCAGGAGAACAATGGGCTGACAATTGCAGGCAGGACAACAATGTAAAGATGCCGATCACTGCATTATTTAGTAGTAAAAGGGCCCAGTCAAAGCCCAGATTAAAATTAACTGGAGAATCACTGGCAAGGATTGAACCATGCTTTTCACAACTGACTGAAGAAAAAAAAAGGTTTTCGCCTCTGGATGTACAAAGCTGGTAGAAACTACAAATTCCCTCCTCAAGTGACAGCGAACTCAAAAGCCTCAGTGTCATTACAGTACCGCTTGGCTGACATCTCAGCTTGTTAATTAGATGTCTGTTGTTGTTCTTCATGCTCCGCTGCTCCACAGAACAGAGTGAAGGCCAAGAAGAGGAGGCCCTGCAACATCTGTGACCTGCTCCGTTCCCCAAACATCCGCTGGATCTCGATCACGCTGTGGGTGATCTGGTGAGTCCATGCAGTCCCAGTGGGCCTCCACATTCCACACACACACACACACACACTACAGTTAGATACACACAAGCACACACTTCGATTAGATACAGTTCTGCACATGCAGTATGCACAGAGTCCTTCCATCTGTCACCTTTTGTTCATGCATCGTCTAAAGTAAATTTCAGAGCCTCTTTGTGAACATCAAAGACACGTCAAGTCCTGTGCAGCGACCGCCATGATGAAAACCAGGATTTATGCAATTACACAGCATGGATGGAGTGTGTGTCCTGAGTGGATCAACAGGACACACAGTGTTACTAGGAACCACGTTTCAAACTACAAGTTTTCATGGAATAGTTTTTACAAATACAGGACTTTTTACCTACCATAGAGCATAACAAAAGATTTGTAATGTTTAGGATTTGTCAAAATATGAAATGGTTAACTTTGTAAATATCACATAATAATGTATAAGATGTGGTTGTAAGTGACATTTGCTTGAATGGATATTTCTAATGTAGAAAATAAAAAAGCAACTTGCAGTGGAAACATTACAGCTAGTTTAAAATGCAATTATGCATTCAACAAATATAGAGTTAATATTCTGACTAAAATATTCTAACACATAAAGATTTAATATTTTTGTATTTATGCTTCAGGAACACCATCACCATCGCCTACTTTGCCCTTTCCCTGAACACGGCGAACCTCAACGGAAACCCCTACTTCAACTGCTTCCTGTCCGCCCTGATGGAGATGCCAGCCTACGTTCTGTCCTGGGTTATGTTTCGCTGGTGTTCCAGACGACTGAGTGTTTTCTCATCACTCTCCTCAGGAGGGTTGTTTCTACTCATCATACATCTCGTACCAGCACGTATGACATCACCGTTTACACAGTTTTATCATATTTTGTTGTATAAACTCTGATTAAATTCATGTTTTGTTCGCTGCAGACCTAGCTGCTCTGTCCATAACGTTTGAGATGTTGGGGAAGTTTGCGGTGTCCACTGCCTTTGCCGTTGCGTACGCCTACACTGCAGAGCTGTACCCCACTGTGCTGAGGAACACGGCTATCGGCGCCTGCTCCACGGCCTCCAGAATTGGCAGCATTATTGCTCCATACTTCATTTACTTACGTAAGTCTGCCATCTTCTTTTCCTTTGTTAGGTTAAGTTAAGAACTAATACATGTATCACGTGATTACACTAAGTTTTTATGATTTTCTCCTGATCTCTCTTGCCTTCTTGAAACACCTTTCTAGTTTTAATTAGTATTTTCAGGTGTCAATATGTTAAAAGGCCTTTGAATAAATATGTTTTTAGCTGTAATTTTAAGTAGCAACATTCAACTTTGTGTTTCTGGGGCACGAGTATGTGGCACAAAGGCATTCTTCAAACTAGAAAAATAAAAACTTGGCATTCACGTAAACAAAATGTAAACCATCTGGTTTACAGAAATAGTTAAAACAAAAAGATTGGATTATAAAGTTTATCTCGTTATTATGATGGAAGGAACCAAAATGCAAGTCAACAACCAGGAGATAAAGAAAACGTTTTAATTGAAAATACAAAAAACGTACAAAAAACTGGGAGGAGGCTGCAGGGATCCAGGGAACATGATGCAAACGGAGTAGGACAAGAAGAAGGAGCAAGGAGTGGGTGGAAGAGAGGAGGCTAAATACTGGGAGGGCTGGAACAACAGACCTGAGCTGATTGGCTAACAGGTGTCAGGTGTGAGGGGAGAGATCACACTGCAAAAAACTAAATCTCACCAAGTATTTTTACTTCAAATATCTTAGTACACTTAAAAAATTACAAAACTAACTTTAAAATAACTTAAGCAAGATTTAGGCACTTGTTTTAAGTAATTTCTTAATATTCTAGTTCCATTGGTAAATTATTTCACTTGTAACATGGGAAAAATGAATTAAGTGAAATAATCTACCAATGGAACTGGAGATCTTTCAAAAATATTAAGGAAATATTGACTTAAAATAAGCGTTTTAAGTCAATATAACTTGCTTAAAAACGTTACTTGTAAGTAAGTTTTGTTTTATTCCAAGTGTACCAAGATATTTACACTAGAAACTGGATTAAATTACTTGGTAACATTTTGTCTTTTTGCAGTGCAGAAAGCAGGCTGAAGGGAGAGAGAGAGAGAGGAAGGCACAAGGGGCGAGGGAGAGTAAACAAACAAGGGAACATGGAAAACCAATCTAACTGAAACAAATAATTACTAAAGCACAAGGAATAAATAAACAAAATATAACTAGATCAACTAAGACTGAAAAAAAACAGACACAAGGAAGCAGAAGAAAACAGATAATAATCAAAACTATGAGCCCAAAATCCAAAAACAACCCAAAGTCCTGATACTCATCTCCATTCAGTCAGCAGAATGGTAAGAGAGGTAAAACTAAATCTCCAGAGCTCATCGTTACCGACCTGCAGAAAGAAGGTCGGAAGCTCAGATTGTGGTTTGATTTCTGTGGGGAATTTGCATTTTCTTCACGTTTATGTTTTGGTTTTTATCGGGTGCTAACGCTTTAGCCCACAAACATGTTAGATGCCCATAGGGGTGAGTGTGTGCGTCTGTCTCTGGATATGGTCACCAGCTTTACTGACCCTACAGGGATAAGCAGGTGTAGATAATTGATGGAGATGAATACAGGGCACTGGAATTGAGGACTTATCTGTGTAACGCCACCTGCTGTGCTTTAAAATCTTTGTAATCGAGGAGGAAACCACATATTACAACCAAGAAGAGCCCAAGGCAGAAATACACTGTTAACCAGTCACTTGCAGACAAAAGCTCTCTGTAACTGTCTGACTTTAAATGTTTGTCTTGTTGTTTCCAGCAGCTGAGCAGTCCATTGATTGCAGACAAGGTTGTTTTTCACCATCCTTTCTCCTCGTTTGATGTTGCGACACAGGAACCTATTCGGTCTCCCTGCCTTACATCCTAATGGGAAGCCTGACCGCTGTGGCAGGGTTGCTGAGCCTCCTGCTGCCTGAGAGCTTTGGAATGCCGCTGCCGGACACAATCAGTCACATGCAGCAGTTCCCTGGGTAAGACTGACCCTCCAGGCCTCTGGCCAAATGACAACTTATTCATTTTAAATGTTTTACAGGCCTGATCTTGTCAACCTGACATGTTGGAGCTCTTCCTGTAAAACCAGACCAACCAGGAACAGAAACTAACTTTAGCATAATGAATAATCAAGCGAGGTCCCTCAGCAAAATGCTTGTTTGTGATTTTGAAAGTGTTTTCATTCTGTAATTATGTTTCTTTTTAATTATGTTTGTAAATATACATATGAATTGAACATAGCATTAGCTGTCAACATGAAGCTAATGAGAGAAAACTGCAGCTCTCTTCCCATTGAGAGTTAAAACCAGACATTTACACACTCTGAAAATAAATGTTTTTTTTCTTTTTTTTAATGAGATTTAAACTTTTTCTGTTTTAGGTCAGTCAGGCTCATTAAAAAACTGCTTTACCCGGTAAACACCAGAGTACTTGGTGCAGTATTTCTTTTATTTACTTTGATTTCGGAAACGTACGTATGCTAGTAGAACTATGCCTTCAAAAAAAGCTCAGATAATGAGTCAGTCCTTCAAATGCTTCATGTAGATTAATTGGCAACATGTGTGTGATGGATGCAGATGTGCTGAAACTGCACATCCTCATCATGGGTGAGATGACCACTTGCATTTTTATGTTTGTCCAGATGTTGTCAGAAGACACCAAACTCTAAATATGAGGAAAAAGCTGGGGAACAAAGGTCTCAGGTCAAGAGGAGCCGCCCTCAAATCAATCAGCAGCTATGAAGTGCAGAAATGAGAAAATCCATCTGATCAGGGAACCAAACAGAAAAAAACATTTTGAATGATTTTTTGTCCAACATTTCCTTGAAAATCATTAACATACCTGTTCCGTTCTCTACTGTGCATTATTGTTATCATTTCTCTCCATTAATACAACTTCAGCCATAGCTGATAAACTGAAAATGATGTAGCAGAATAAACAGTTTAGAAAGTAAAGTTACTCAAATACAGGTTACAGGTTTTACCTTAAATTTCGGTTTTACATACAACACTGTGAAATTGTCAGATTGTCTATATAATTTCTGATTTGATAAGAGTCACATGAACCTGTCCTCCTTTTTAGCAGTTCTCTAATAAATCATGCATTTTTGAAACTGTGATTCAAAAATGTACATTTGACTGACTTGTAATGACTTTCCTTATTTTTGATGTTACTTTGATTATGACTGTGCTTTAAAGTTACATATTGACCTGTGAGTATGGGTGGTAAAGCATTTTGACCACTGACAGGTCAAAATGGTTAGCTCTTTGTCATTTTGTTTTAAATAAGCAGGTCATCATCTTGGTCTTAAGTCAGGGTGATAAAATGTAAAAATGTGATGAGAATCAAATAGTGATGACTAGATGATGACTTGGTCAGCGCGGTTGCTGTGGGGCGTCAGAAATGGTCCAAAGAAAAAACATAGAATTGAGACGGAGAATCCCAGTGGGGAGTGAAGGCGATCCAACATCCAAACAGCTGGATCCATGTTGAGCACTAAAATTACTCCAAGACAATAACATTTACATTACTCATTTTAAAACGTTGGGTCTGCTGTTCACCTGATTTAAAGGGAGAGAATTATTTTAAGACAGAAAGGCTTTAATCTACACTACCATCAGGGCGATGCAGGTTAGCAAATATATGTGGATGAAACGATGAGAACCAGATTTCTACTCCCTAGAGCAGGAGTGTCAAACTCATTTTCAGCTGGGCCATATCAATACAGGACAGACTTTCCAAAAAGCAAAACTTCCCTGTAACAGGAAGACTTTCCAAAACAGTTCAACACTGCACCAATTATTTAAACTGGTTTAAGGTGATGAAATCTTAAGCAAAGCATCATAGAGGATCCATGAAGAGACAGTGAAAAGGCAGCTCAGTTTTTTTCAGCGTTAGTTTCCACGTTTGAATCGATAAATGCAAATAGTTTCTGAATAATTTCTGAATTATTAAAGCATGGACATTGTTTTTGAAATATTTAGCTAAAATTTCAAATAATGACTTGATGCAACAAATAAAAAAGGTATGCATGTTGAAATGTAAAAGACCTTATTTTCAGCCAAACATATTTGATAATATTCATAGAAAAGATAGTTATCTTAATGCAATCAATCCCTACTTGTAACCTCTAAGCTATATTTGCAGACACTTTTCCTTCACAACTAACTTTCAACCATGAACTTCAGATTCCAACAGGCCTGCTGCACATTTCCTAGTTACACCTCTTTAAATTGTAGCTTAAAGTAAGTTTGTACTCCTGGACAGTTTATTTTATTCAGAAGGATAGATGCAAATATAAAGTTTGAAGTGGAAGTCATTATGTGCCAAGTAAACAAGAGAAGCATTAGCGTTAAACTAGTTTATATTACTTTTTACATCATCAGAGTCTCGGGTCTTTTAATGGTGTTTCACCAGATTAAAAACATTTCCTCTAGATTCCACCAGAGGGCGCTAAAAGCTCAGGGACAGAAATGTGCCATTGTAGCCAACTTGTTGCTCTTGCAGCTACTCTGCAAGAGCAACAAGTTGGCCTTCAACTCAAGCATAAGAAAAATCTACAAGGAGCAGAGAGAGACAAATAAAGTTTAAATATGTGTCTAACTACGATAAACGTTTTGGGTGTAAAATTACAGACATTTTTAAACATGAAAAAAATAAAGCAGACTTTTACTTCTGACCTATTTTAGCAGCCTTGACACAGCATTTCTCTCAGACTGAATGCCTACTGTATCTTCTGTTCAGGGTCACAACGCAGCTTCTGTTACTGAGCAATGTGTAACCCACGGCTCCTTGGTCTTTTTGTTTAGGCTCTGGTTTGAATCCAACTCAAAGGCACTCCTCTTTGTGCAAAGACATTAAACCCTTTACTAATTAACCATTCAGCTGGCCCGTTGGGTGATTGGATTTGCAATTAAACTTTAACTTGCTGAGGTCTGTTAAGTTTCAGTTGACCTGGTAGTTGTGATGAGTGTTTCTTTCCTCCTTCAGATAATTATCATGACATTAGAACAGCTGACCTTTAAGCCAGTGACTGGTTGCTGAAACTAAATGTAATAAGAGTAACACCACACCACTGATGAAGCTCCAGTAGTGGATTTCTAGCAGTATGTCACGCTGACATTTTTTTTTTTTTACCATATTTTAGATTTCTTTCTAAAATAAAAGTACCTTTATCTGTGTTTTTATTTCACTTAAAGATAATGTGAAGATTGCACTGAAGCCCCACAACTTGTTCATGAATTTACTGATGTTGGGTGTGTTTCTTTTATCAGTTGCAAGTTTAAGCTTGCTTGAAATAGAACAGAAATTAAACGGACAGAAATGTAACTTGAATAGAGAAATGAAAGAGCGATTAAAATAGTAGCCGGGATAAACAGTTGCATTTCCAAACCTTATGGTTCTCAGATGAAGCACCTCCACCTATATACTCTAAAACAAAACATTAAGAAAAGAGGAAAGTAGCAGCATGAAGACACATTGGGACTTCTTTTAGGTCTGTTTACACAAAAATATTAATTTTGTATCAAAATCCTAAGTAAATTTTACAAACCAGGTGATCAAGATGTCGCTGTCTACAGGCAGCAGCAGTTCTGTGGAAGTCTCACACCGTTTAAAAGATACTATGATTAGAGAAGAAAAGCTCATTTTAGGTTTGCTGTCAAGATATGTTAAGGAATGGCACCCTGGGTAAACAGCCACTCCCCAGAGTAGAAACACCTGATCTGAAACCAGATGAACCCAGCGTGGACCATAAATCATAAAATCTAATGTAATGGCATCCTCTAGAGTGGAAAAAACCCAAAACGATTCTTCCACTCAGTCAGAAGAGTTTAAAAAAAGGTCAAACTGCCCCAGTTCTTAAAGACACAAATTCTTCAAAAGCCAGTGTGGGGCCAACTCCACCCTGAGACTCCACCCTGAGTCAGTGCTTGATCTTTGATTTAAAGGAGATAAATTGATTTTCTGTCTCCAAAGATGGTAGAAAAAGGACTCTACTAAAAAAAGTTATTTAGGTTAAATTTGGAGAAATTTTGGGTGTTGATTAAAAAGTAAAACTCTAAAACTTAATTTCTAGGGCCGCAACAAATTAAATGGTTTTCGTGTCGTCTTCCTGGATCCACCGTAATCAAGGACAAATTACTCCCATCAGAAACTTTGCTGTTTACGGAGGAAAAGCACAAAACAAAAAAAACATCAGTTTTCTTGTCACAGCGAGTTGTGGGTTGGACAGATTCACAGCAGGAAATAAACCACAACTAGAGAAATCCTCAACCTGCGCACATTCATCCATGCGCCGGATTCTGCCTCGAAATGCCCGCTGCAACTTCCGACACCAGCAAAATCACTGACTATGATGCGGCGACCGCCTTCCTGGGAGAATGGGGACCTTTCCAGCGGCGGGTCGTTTTCCTCCTCTGCCTGAGCTTCATTCCTAATGGACTCACTGCGCTGTCTGTGGTGTTTCTGGCCGACACGCCGGATCACCGCTGCGCGCTGCCCGCGCACCTGAACCTCAGCGCGGCGTGGAGGAACAACAGCATCCCGCTGGAGGAGGATGCGAACCGCGACGGCGCTTTGGTGCCCAGCAAGTGCTCCAGATACAAAGTGGAGAATTTATTGAATTACTCGGAGAGAGGCTTGCTGCCTGGATCCGACGTTAATCTGTCTAATGTGCCTAAAGAAGGCTGTCTGGACGGATGGGAGTTTGACCACAGCGTGTATACTTCTACCATCGTCTCTGAGGTGTGTGGATTAAATGATGCTGGATTTTGTCAAGGTTCACATGCAGGAAGATTTTAAAATTTTGGTTATAAAGATCCCCTGCAAAATCCAACCAAATCCATTAAGCAAGGTTGAAAGTTTTGATATATTTATAATCAATAAATTATAATTTTCTTTGTTTGAGAATGAGTCTGTATGAACACCCAAAAGTCCCATTCTGTGAAGGATGAAAACGACCAAACATGCAAAATAGAAATTGTTAATGAAGATATTTGCACTCAGCTGTGACAACAAGTCAAGTTCTAAAAAATAATAAAAAAGTAAATATCCCTCCTATCAAATCTACGGCCAAAAATCCCAACATTTTTGGTCCACAAATGGATAAACCAAAAGTACTTTAGGACACTTAAAGTTGTCATAAAAATTGGGTAAAGGCTCCTATTAACTCCATTAACTGCTACTGTTTCGTCCTTTTTGTAAATTATTGACCAACCTGAATTTAACTTATTTGTGTTTATTTTTTGACAGTGGGACCTGGTGTGTGACCAAAGCTGGAAGAAGCCCCTCACTACTTCTTTGTTTTTCGGTGGCATTCTTGCTGGCTCCTTCGTTTCAGGACAGCTCTCCGACAGGTTGCAGACTGAATATTTTGTTACAAGAACTGAACTTAACCCGAGGCAATCACTGTTCTGGTTTTATACATTTAAAAAATACAGTTTTTTTAAAATGTATAATCTAGAAAATATTTAGGTAAACTTCATGCAAGTCAAAAATTCTATGAAACCATTACTTCTCATCCCGCTTCAGTGCTGCATCTTTGATTTCTCCCATTGAACTTGATTTCTTTGGTGGAATTTCAATCAGGACAATCAGCGAACAGAGTGAGAGTTGAAGGATGGTTAGTTTTCTGTTTTGGAGTTGTAGACTGCTTATGGTTGTAATTCAGCAACAGCAGTGGAGAAAGTAATTGAAGCCATTCAGACATCTCATGGGTGAGAAAGATGATGTTTGCCTCGGCACTTCTGTGCATTTTCAGTAAGCTTCAGATCTCTGGTCAAGCTGGCTCATTATGGTAGCCATTGGATAAAATCAGATCTAATCATTTAAAACTTCAACAGATTTCATTCCTACAGCAAGTAATCATTTCTCAGTAGTCGAGGGTTCAGAGCAAAACGTAGAACAAGGGTTTGGCTTTCACTACAGTAATGCAACAGAATGTAACTAATTGTTCACGAACCTCTCTCTGCTTTGTGTTCATTTCAGATTTGGGAGGAAAATGGTGATGTTTGGTACCATAGGACTGCAAGTAGTCACAACACTGATTCAGATTTTCTCTTCAAGCTGGATCATGTTTGTCGTTTTGTATTTTCTTCTTGCAGTGGAACAAATTTCCAATTACGTGGTTGCATTTGTTCTAGGTATGTCAGTTCCTGTGTGCACAACAATCCCCCAAACAGATTTAAATTTAATGTAATATATTTTTGTGTTCAGGAGCAGAAATTTTAGGTCCTCAGGTCCGAACTTTTTTCTCCACTGCTGGAGTGTGTCTTTTCTTCGCGGTGGGCTACACACTCCTACCTTTGTTTGCATTCTTTGTGAGAGACTGGAGGATGCTTCAGGTGGGCTTCATGTTGGCTGGCAGCGTTTGTTTGCCCCTCTTCTGGTATGTATCATGTTTGCATGTCGTTTTTGAGTTGATTTTCTTTTCATGGAAGATTTGTTTCAGATTTCTTTCCGTCTTGGATGTTATTTGGCAGTTGCAGCTCATTCTAAAATGTGATTTCTAGATTTCCTTCAGGGATTTCCCTCAATCCAGTTCTACTGTTTAACAAACGTTTCTTTTTCTGTTTTAACCTCTGAATGACAGGCCATTAAAAACCAGGTTGGCAACTTTTTAATGATACTTTTATTGCAGAAACTACACAAGAACATGTTTGTAGGATCTGGAGGCATGGGACAACAACAACTAAAGCTAGATGTATCATGTTTAAGAAATATAGCAGCCGGTTAGAGGAAAGTTTGGAAAAATAGATGTTTCATTAATTTTTTGTAGCGATGCCACAAAGAAGTCTAAATGTGAAGTTTCCTGTTTTCTAGTCCATCCATGTTCATAATCATTTGAAGGCTGAATTATGAATATCTTTCATGTAACTGCTTACATCCGTCGCTGCCACGATATTTAATGACTTATCACATGAACAGTCATTCATGTGTGATTTTCATTTCATTTATTGATAAAATTAAACATGTTTAAACTATCAGTGATGAGCAAAAGTGCAGCATAAACATAAAATACTTTTACTGTGATGTGGAACTGCATCATTCATAAAAACTTAACAGATGAGCTCAGTCACCTCAACAAATGCAAATACCAAGGTGCAGTAATTGGAAAAAATATTAAATGTATTTTCTGTTATTCAAAAATTAAAATGGCTGCTTGGAAAAGAAACATGACCGAATGTTATTTCTAAATGTTTTCTGCTAGTGTTTGTATATGATGCTTCATATTATAAATTCAAATGACTTGTGTGACGACTTATATGACTCATATGCACATAAAAAATATGCACAACTAATGTCATGGATTTACATTAGCATAGGTACAGAAAATGTGAAACAAAACTTATTCCCTTTGTAATATTTCTTCCTGATTCACAAACGTCTAATTTTCTTGTTTAGATTATGAAACTGTAAGTACCTGATAAAACTGCCTTTAATAAGACTGTGCATTTATGGCTGTGCAAAACTCAAACAGATCACCTACCATAGCAGCTGTGCATCATCACTGAAGTCTTCATTTTCTCTCGCCTTCCGTCCACAATGTTGCAAAACGAATCAGGTTCATCCCAGAGTCGCCTCGCTGGTTGCTTTCCCAGGGTAGAGTCGAGGAAGCCGAGGTCATCATCCGGAATGCTGCCAAGATGAACAGGATTGAATCTCCACCCGTCATCTTTAGCCCTCTGAAGGTCAGAGCATTAAACACCCACCATCAC